GTGCAAGTCAGCGTAGAAAAGCCAATTATGGTAATGCACTGCATGTCAATGAAAATACAGCAATCTTTTTGGAGCAGCTACTGCAGGCATCAGTGTTGCAACTCTCCTTCCTGTGAAAATTTGCCCATTGGAAAATGAAGAGGAAGGAGGTGATAGATGTCTTAAAGACTGTTAATAAAATCCCAGGCCAGCCATAAAAAGTGCAAGTCAGCAAAACAATTGTTGTGAATAAAACCCAGGCCAGCCATAAAAAGTGCAAGTCAGCAAAACAATTGGAAGTGCAAAATGCAAACTGTTAAGTTTCCAAATTATCTAGTAATTTAATCTTGAATGATTTATATTCCATCACTGAAATAGCCAGGACCATGTCTTGCATTTCTTAGGGTTTGACTGACAAGAAAGACGATTTATGGTACTAATAAACCTCTTAGCATCCACTACTTTTAAGGAAGCAGATTTGGGGGAAGGGGGGAGGAGGAATCTCAAACTTATCCCTCAGCTCTATTTTAAAAGTTACACAGAGTCATAAGGTCTGCTTTTCTCACCTTCTCTGCAATATTTCATTTTGTTTGGCTATTTTTTCTTTCCAGAATGTGTGATAGTTTAGATGTATGCATATATATTGGAACTTGTTAGGCAGTTGATTTTTAAGCATAATTCCCCCACTATTTGGAAGGGACTATTTACCTCCATGTATTTAAAGTCATCCAAGCAATTTCTGCCCTCCTCTACCTTGAAATCAGCTCAAAGTGAAGCCACCAAAAGTCTGGCCCAACATGTTTTGAAATAAAACATGTTTCTGGATAAATACACAAGTGAAGTTTATGTCTTAAAAATGTGCATTTCTTTTTTTCATTAAGTTACCACATTCCTTATATAAATCCTGGTCTTCATCAACTTAGATAATATAATCTGAGTATGTTTCCTTACCCAAGTTAATGTATTTAGTGAATGTTAGTTCATTTGGCAATGGGCAATTGTGGGCCATCAGCATTGTCTTCTTTGAGCAGAGACAGAATGAATCTAGCATGCAGACTCTTTCCAGTACCAAACTTCAACTTACATGCATCATTGCTTAAAGCTTCATTGGGCTATGCATGTAAATCCATGTGTTATTGTAAATCCATCATACCCTTCTTACATTAGTGCCTTTTAGATTTTTCAATACAAGGATTTTCTCTTAAATAATCACCTTTAAATTTGCCAAGATGAAAAGACACTGAATGACAGTGCAGAGAGCCATCAAATTAGGAAATGGAGTCCTAATCTTTCTTTCCAATGTTTCAGTCCTAATGCCCCATCACTGTTATCACGCGTTGATGTGGGTATTGTTGCACAATGCCAACACTACAACTCTATTGGGTACGGTACCTCAGTTTTCCTTCAGAGAGAGAGAATTTCTACTGTCCTTTCTTGACTACTTTCCACTTCATGCCTACTTGAAGGGACCATATCTATATCATATTTGGCGCCATAATATCCAAGTGCCTGAATGCTCTAATCCAATGTCCATGGTGATTTATGCATACTGGACGGAATGGGGATCTCACCTATTATTAGTGCTCTGCCTGAGATCAATCTTGCACCTAAGATATGGACCTAGGGAACCCATTTGTGGCATGTACAAGATCTCATGCATCTTTAGAGCCACACAGCTCTCAGCTAATAGCTTATGAAACACTGTACCATAGACTCTTGTAAGTCTATAAAAAATACTAAATATGATTAGATGTTGTGATTATCCCCAGAAAAAGGAATAAGGTGTAAAAAAAAAAAATTTTTTTTAAAATTGTACAAAAAACCACAATGGCCTACCACCTCAAATCAAGGCAATTGCAAAACTAGATGTAACTAGCTTTCTCAGTTGAGACCTTGAAAAAGCAAGCAAGTACTCCATGAAAACAGAAAGATTTGAAAGCCTTTGCAAGCTGGAAGTGTTAGGTTATGTGAACTAGTACGCTACTAATATCAGCAAGGAATATTCAAAATGCAAGGATTTTTCTGGGTTATATCTTCTATTGAACCAACTGCATGGTTGACACAGACTTAGACAAGCTTTCAAATTCAAGGCATTCTTCATCGGGTATGAGGAAAAAAATCAAGCAGAGGGATGATTTTTAAAAAGTGGGTGGAGCTTCAAGATTGGAGTGGAGAGAAATTCCCAGAGGTAGCAGACACGCAGTTAGCAAAAGAAGGAGATTGATGGGAGATTAAGACCTATCAAAAATGGGAAGGGTCATTATCACCTGTAGTGTAAAGGAAGAATTTCAGGAATCAGATAGATCACAGTGTGCCATGAAGTCAAAATCAGTATTCAGGCCTTGGCTCCTAGTGTCCAACTGAGGGACTGGGGTGGCACAGGTGCATGGTTAATAACCTAAAAGTTGTAAGTTTGAGGCCATAGCAGAAGTGCTCGTGGTGCAACCCTGTCAATTAATCTGCAAATTTTGCTAAATACCTCATCACAGGGGCATAGGAAAGGAAGCCATCTTATTCATTTTGGTTCCCAAACTCACATTTTAAAGGTAGTTGGTAGAGTTCCCTTTAGTACAAGGATAGTGAGGTCTGAAAGAGAGAGTCTGTATTCGTAGTGATGTTTGTGTCTCTATCCTTCTTTTTTTCTGAGAGTTCATTCTGGTCACTATTTAGCTTCACCCACTTAGCAGAGAATATGGCACTTGAACAGGGAAGGGATCAACGTGATGTCTGATGCTGCAAAGGAAAATGTACATGGGTAACTTGGCTCAAAAAAGTAGCCTTTCAGAGATCAATGGAACTGTTCATATTTGTAATGTTAAGGTCATGCATTTAAGATTAACATTTTGATTGGGTTATTTGCTCCAGATGCTTTTCCAAGGGGGTGGGAAGGGCGGGGGGGATTAAGACCTTAACATCAAACTCTGCCTTCATTTAAACCCTGCAGTGAAAGTCAGATTCCACTCTTTACTAAATGCAGACAACACTATTAGACTGTATTTGAAATCATGGAGATTCCCTGGATATAAAAAGGTAGACCCTTCATGTCAAAGGTAAGCGAGCAACAAAACAGTTTTGCCAAGTTCGATCCTATAAACAAACTCTAATAGTATTATTACCATCGTCACTACTATCATCATCCTGTTAGGAAATATATATATTTTTAAAAAGGCATAATTGTTTGAACTCAGAAACTTAATTAAGACAAGTAATTTCTAGGCACATACAGCAATCACATTTTATCTGCAAACTAATTTAGGGTGCATTAAGATTACATTTAGGAGCTTCCTCAAAAATTAGTAACATTAAATAATATTGTTTATGTGTACGGTGCCACAGGCTTAAAATCACTAAAATCACTCTGAAGGATGTGCCTAGGGATTCATCCTACTGTCCTTGCTCAGGCAAATATTCCATTGTCATAAATGAGTTTTTACCTCAATAGGTTCCCAAGGTCATGACAATACCCATAAGACTCCTCTACCAAATTGAACAACTCTGCATATGTACCTTAGGTTGTGTATGTGACCTATGTCCTGGGTTCCAAACTTAGGAGTTATGAATCATGTGATCTGAAGGTGACTGAAGGATGCTTATGTGGATGTTAGTTCAACTTAACATTTCTGGCATTTCTAAGAGTCTTTAAATAAAATTCTGGAATTCTTAATGTTTCACTTCCAGTAGAAACCATTAAGCACAATGACTTTTTCATACAATTAGCCAGACCTCTCCTGATTACTAAGGAAAGAAGTTCTTGTTAGTTCATACAAATGGTCTAGTAACACTCAAATAACTACTGAGAAGTCCTTCAAATATAGTGCAATCTACAAGATGTCCAACTTTGTAAAGGTAAGAAAGATAAGCCAGTTGATTTCAATTCCTAATTTTATGAGGGAAAGGTGAGGATATGCCACTTGAACTACATGTTTGCGGTTTGTCCTGCCGTTTCCTCATTTACTGGATATATATCATAGCCACTGTGGTTTACCCTCAATGTAACCCCTTCTGTGATGAAAGAAACATCAATCACTCACCATGGTGGGTTTCAGCAATGTAAGTTCATGACACCATAAAATTTGGGAAGTATGGGGAATATATACACTGATAAAATGCCAATACCACTTGCTTAAATTGAGAACTGCATTCAGATCTGGCTTAAACTCAAATTAAGAAATCCATTTTTTAATAGAATAGTTTTCAAACCAAAATGTTTCCAAGAGCTATCAAATCATATGATAAAGACAGCTCTAGCATAGCATAATGCATTAAATATACTTTGTTGTCCCCTAAGAAGATCATTAAAAAAATTACCAAAAAAACCCCCAAAGAAAAATGAAAAATAGAACAGCTTTGCTACAGGCAAAATGAGAAAATGTTAAAAAAAAAAGTTATATATTATTATGTCATGAACATGTACAGAATGAAGTGCAAAGGTAAATAAAAATATCCTGGATGTACTCCCATAATCCAAAAACCTCCAAATTAAAGTATAAAATCTCAACTTTGAGGAAGTTTAAAGAGTTCTGATTTTTGCCTAGCAAAGAATAAATATAATATCTTGTTGTTATGATAAGCTGTGACACTTAAAAGGTGCAAAAAAAAATCATCTTCTCTTTAACCATTCTTTGAAATATGACCTACTACGTCATTTAATTTTTGAAAACCCTAAGGTCATGTAACACACTTTCTCTGTCATTTGTAAGTACATTAACTCAGTGGCCATACGACAGTGAAATTATGATAATGGGCTGCTAAAATGGGTCATGCAGACACTGCGTTTCATGTTAGCTTCAAACAACAGTGAGAATATAGTCCAAATCAAATATGACAGTACAAAAGCACATGGTTTACTTTTCTCAAGGCTTTGCCAGTAACTGGGGGGGGGGGAAGAAGGCATCCACAAATATGAACGTATTAGTTTAATTTCTCACTCACCCACCCTGCCCCCAGGATGTGTTAAAAGAAAATTGTCACACTAAGCCGGCAAACTTTTTAATAAAAGACAAATCATTGTCTAATTCTTTGCAAGGTTTTCTCCACATAATGCAAAGGTTATTGCTAGACAAAGCCTACATTCCAAAAATGAAAACTGCTTCATATAATGAGCCCTAGAACTACACAAACCTACACACACGCAAAAGTTAAATAATTTTCTTCCCTTTTACCACACACCACCATTAGTTTCCATATTTCTGCCTGTGTGTTGAATGACATGGATTGCATTGCTCAAAGCCCAGATAATGAAGTTCACACAAGTATACTTCAACAGAAAAGAAAAAAAATTATAATTTGACATGTTACAGATATAAGAGCCAATATGTTAAATAATTGTTTACTCATTTATTAAAGGAGGGTTAAAGAACGAAATGCTTCTTGTGTTTATGCACATGAAAAAAAGTTCGTGTGTGCTGCAGTTTATGTCAAGCTACAGAATCTCCACAATTTTGGGCTGTCTTGCATAATAAATACAAGCATGGTATAGCAAGGTTTCTTTTACACAAAGCACTAATAATTGGAAGAAAAAGAATATCAAGCAGTATTAAGAGTCTTTCAGAAGACCTCCCAAAAATGAAGCCAGCCACACTGGGCCAAATTCTATACACAGTTACATCTATCCAATTACATGTAAACCACTGATTTTTAGAATATTAATACTTATTAACTACCTGTAATAGAGGCACAATTTTCTATAAAAAGGCTTTTTTGCTTTCTTTGTCTTTTTTGTACAATTTGAAAACTGTCAGTCTAATAGTTCCTGAGAGAACTTAAGGCTGCAAGGTTGATGAACACAAAAGCATAGAAACACCATCCGCATGCAAAAGTTAACTGAATAGCACAGATAATTGCTTAGATAATGATTTTGATAGAAGCCTACTGAAAGCTCCTATAGTAAGTATATCTTATCATACATGTTATGTATATGCTACACATCTTGTACATATATGCATATATATACATGCAGTAAAGGAGAAGATTTGGACCAGCAATATTCAAAATGTTCTTTTCATAAACAGAATAAACAGACATGGAGTTAATTAAAAAAGGGGGATGGGCAATCTAGATTGCTAGGACCACATGTGTTTTTAAGTCCAGCAAGTCTGTCATACAGGGGGAGAAAAACAAGTTACCTAATTTATGTAAGGGCTGTCCGTTATGTACACAATAATGCAGCATTTCATAGGAAGACAAGCAAGTAACAATCAGAGAAGTGGTTCTTGGGGAAGATCACACTGACCAGCTCCAGCTTGTGAGTTTCCTGAGACTTATGCAGCTTGACTGACAATGGGATTTAATGTAGCCTAACTATACTAGCCTTGAGCATAGATGCAATTATAACAGTAAGACATATAGAGTTTAGTGTATTCGAATGTATCCGACTGTTGCAAGCATCAGTGGTGTAATCAGCAAATGTTCCCTCCTTCATCCTCCCTTTTTTCCCCCCTACCTGAAAAATCAGATCATGAGAACCTTCCAGTTTTAAGAACTTGAGAAAAGGTCATTTTGTTTTCCTCAATACCATAAAAATGGCATATCTAAATTTGACATGCATATGCAAATCAGCACAGAAAAAAACACCCTGATTTTCCTTCACACTGGATTACTGTATCTGTATGAAATGTTGATACAAACACCATGACTAATAAAAAACAGCATCTCTGTGGTTTAATTGGCAGGATGGAAGTAATAAATGTAGCAGTACTGGACAAGGTTATTGTCTCATGGCATACAATAACTAAAATGTATAATTTTACCCTTAACACAACTTACATGCAATTTAAGTTGTGTTTTTAGAGTTAGTTCTATAATTTACATAAACAAAGAAGCTTTACAAATATTTTACAGTAATACAGAAGCCTGTACTGACTACAGATATCTGGTCAATAATCTCAATATGTATAATAAAAAACAAAAGGACATAATTATACTGAGAGAACAGAAAGGTGGCCACTAGCTATCACGTTTGTGTAGATTTAAAGTATCATAATAGAAAATATGTCACTTTATACTTTGAAACACGTTCTTTTTTAGCTTCAGTTAATTATTTCAATTTTTTGCATATAAATATATTTGTAGCCCCAAACAAATAAGTCTGTAATTTGAATATGCACCCAATTCACTGTTTTAAAATGTAGAATACTTAAATACTAATAAAGAAGTGTTTGTACAAAGTTTAGATGCCCCAACTTTCGCTATAGTAAATCCAGAGTAGACTTTTGATAGTACTGTATACACAAACCCATACACACCCAGAACACACACACACACACAGAAAGATTTGTGTATACACACAGAAGTACTTGCAAATGAAATGCATAGTCTTAATTACTATAATGGGAATGACAGAGTGCTAAATCAGCCTCTGCAGGTATGCTCAAATGTACTGTTCTTAATCCAGACAAGGTTCTTTGGATCACATCTTTAGATAGCCAGGGATTGTTAATGCTAAAGCAACAAAAAATATACCCTAATCTATAGCTAACATTTTTAATTTGTCACTTTCAGGGTAGATATCTCTTCGTGGCCTAGAGGTCTAGAAATTTTATATTGCTAGCACAAAAGCTACTTAAGTACCTGACCACTTAAGGTCCCATATTTTAAAATTCATGGCAGAAGCAAAGTAAATTTTACTAAAGATTATTATATAATCAATAATTTTTCAAAACTTTTTTCATGGAAGTTATGATGTTATTTCAAGCAACTACTTATTACTATGTTATAAAGCACATTCCTCCACT